GCATGTTCCCGGCCACCGTAGCCTCGTCCTGCTGAGCCACCGAGCCCGGTCCATGAAAGTACTTTCTGAATCACAGAGTACTATGGAGATAAGGTATTACTAGGAAAAGTAATATATAGGCTGGGTGTGGTGGCTTATGCCTATAATCCCAGCACTTTGGGAGGCTGAGGTAAGAGGATTGCCTGAGCTCACAGGTTCAAGACCACCCTGGGTAAATTGGTGAGACCTCATCTCTACAATAAATCAAAAAATTAGTTAGGTGTGGTGGCACATGTCTGTAGTTCCAGCTACTTGGAAGGTTGAGGCGGAAGGATTACCTGAGCCCAGCAGACTGAGGCTGCGGTGGCTGTGAGCATGCCACTGCACTCCAGCCTGGGTGACAGAATGAGATGCTAACTCAAAAAAAAAAAAAAGAAAAGAAAAGTAATATATATTGTTTTGTTTTGAGATGGTGTCTCACTTGCTATGTTACCAGGCTTGTATCAAACTCTTGGGCTCAAGCAATTCTCCTGCCTCAGTCTCCTGAGTAGTTGGGATTACAGGGGTGTGCCACCAAGTCCATTGAAAAGAAATATTAAAGTTAATATCTTTTCCTGTTCATCTAGTCTAACACTTAAGCAAAAACAATTACAAAGTAATAAAATACTTAAAATCTTTCATTTTGTTGCTCGTTAAATAAAGCAAAATTGGCCAGGCTCGGTGGCTCAGCCTGTAATCCCAGCACTTTGGGAGGCCGAGGCAAGTAGATTTCCTGAGCCTATGGGTTCGAGACCAGCCTGGGCAACTTGGTGAGACCTCGTCTCTAAAATAAATTTTTAAAAAATTAGCCAGGCATGGTAGCGTGCGCCTGTAGTTGTGGCTACTTGGAAGGCTGAGGCAGAAGGATCGCCAGAGCCCAGCAGGTCGACGCTAGGATGGCTATGAGTATGCTACTGCACTCCAGCCTGGGCGACAGAGTGAGACTCCAACTCCAAAAAAAATAAAAAAATAAAAATTAAAGCAAAATTAACTGACCAGTCTCAGACCTCTGACCAGTATATTTGCTGAAAACCCATGAAGATCAACTAAAATTAACATTCTGAACATAGAATGATAGATTTTTAAAAACTAAATTAACCCATTAGAAGTATGCATATAAAGAGGCCTAGACTCTTGCCTAAATGATTAAATCTAATTGATATTAATAGAGGTTACTATTAAAAGTATTTTAAGCTATACAAAGTTTTAAGAAAAAAATTTACGAAAAAATTCTATGAAACTAGTAAAAACAAGAAACAAAAATAGAAACCTTTATTATGTAAATTGATTTGCAATTAGCTATTATTCTAGTACTGTCTCTTCTAAAAGAGGCATACGAACCAGCACTGCAAAGGTATCTTTTTCTTTAAAAAGAGATATCTCTCATGTTTATCTAATACAGTTTCTCTAAGCAGATGGGCAAATAAGTGCCAAATAGTCAAAGGAATAGCAAAACATACCCTACACTTCCATAATAAATGGCATCTACAAAAGGAAATGGAAGGGACAGCATATGTATACAATAAAGTCCTATTAACAGAAATTAAAATCTACTTTCTAAATTCACAAAAACTCTAAATTACAGAACATACATCTCCCAGATAAAGGAAACAGTTCTCTAAAAATAAACAATAATTTCACTATAGCCATAGTTCTCATCACTCAGAGGCCATCACGAGGATGAAATGAATTGTTGCATCTTAAGTGAGTATGGTAGCCATACAGCAGAGTGGCTAAAAGCAGAGGCTTTGTTTAAATCCTGGTCTTGCTATTTAGCAGCTCGGTGATTTTGAGGAAGTTATTTTATCTCTCTAAGTCTCAGTTTCATCATCTATAGACTGGAATCCACATAAGGTGATGGTTAAAAGATTTAATGTTTATAAAGTATTTAACATAATCCCAGGCACATAGCCTGAGTTCAAAACATGGTAGTTGCTTCTTAGAGCTATGATGCTGCTGCTTCTTAGAGCTATCATATCCACCCCATATATAGCTTCCTAAAGAAATATATTCATTTGCAATGTGGACAAATTATCATCAATGGTGATAATTAACATATGATAATTGTAGATGAAAATTTTCAGAAAATCACATTTTCCATTTCTTTTGTATTTTTTAACCATCTTTAGCAGGATATAGTCAATACTCTAACAATACCTTAACGAATCAGGAAAGAAAGGAACGAAAAAACGAAGGAAGGAGCAAACAAAGTGGGCAACCATTTCCCAGTCCCTGCTAATGCAGTGTGATCTGAACTATTAAGCATCTCCTGGATCTGGCCCTCAGAGAGTGGCTATTGTCATGTTCTGAATTTTTTTCTTTTTTCTTTTGAGTTGGAGTCTCACTCTGTCATCCAGGCTGGAGTGCCATGGCACACTCACGGCCACCCCCGCATCAACGTGGACTCCAGTGATCTTTCCGCCTCAGCCTTCCAAGTAGCTGGAACTACAAGAGCACGCTACCATGGCTGGCAAATTTTTAAAAAATTTATTTATTGTAGAGATGAGGCCTCGCCAAGTTGCCCAGGCTGGTCTCGAACCCATGGGCTCAGGCAATCCACTCGCCTCAGCCTCCCAAAGTACTGGGATTACAGGCTGAGCCACTGAGCCCAACCTTATTGTCATGTTCAAGGTAAAAGAACTGCATAAGATCCACTAAAAAGGAAACTCGGTCCTAATAATATTCAAGTTGAAGCATATCATGAAATAACAATTTCAGAAATTGAGCAAGCTAATTAGAAAAGCTTTACAACTCAATAAACCATCTACAGATTATTTATTCTGCCCCTATCTGAAATAATAGAACATGAAATCTACAAACTTTAAAAACAGTATTTATAAGTAAACATTACCTAAGGAAATATTAGTATTTAAAAAAAAAAGTTTTCTTAATAATAAAAAATAGGCCGGGTGTGGTGGCTCAAGCCTGTAATCTAAGCACTTTGAGAAGCTGAGGCAAGAGGACTGCCTGAGTACAGGTGTTCGAGACCAGCCTGGGCAACTTGGTGAGATCTTGTCTCTACAATAAATCAAAAAATTAGCTGGATGTGGTGGTGTTCGCCTTGTAGTTCCAGCTACTTGGAAGGCTGAGGTGGAAGGATCACCTAGCCCAGCAGGTTGAGGTTGGGGTGGCTGTAAGTGTGCCACTGCACTCCAGCCTGGGTGACAGAGTGAGACTCCAACCGAAAAAAAAAAAGAAAAATAGAGAAATTCAATTGAGTTCTCTTGACATCAGAAATATATTTCTAGTACTTTCTTTTTAAAATTAGGGTATTTAGCCAGGCACATTGGCTCATGCCTATAATCCCAGCACTTTGGGAGGTGGAGGTGAGAGGACCGTCTGAGCCCAGGGGTTCGAGACCAGCCTGGGTCACTTGGCAAGACCTTGTCTCTACAATAAATTGAGAAAAATTAGCTGGGCATGGTGGCACATGCCTGTAGTTCCAGCTACTTGGAAGGCTGAGGCAGAAGAATCGCCTGAGCCCAGCAAGTCAAGGCTGCAGTGGTCATGAGCATGCCACTGCACTCCGACTCAAAAAAATAAATAAATAAAGTTAGGGTATTTGGTTGGGCATGGTGTCTCACACTTGTAATCCCAGTACTTTGGGAGGTGGAGGTGAGAGGATTGCCTGAGTCCAGGAGTTTGAGACCAGCCTGGGCATTTGTGCAATAAATTAAAAAATTAGCCAGACATGGCGGAGCGCGTCTGTGATTCCAGCTACTTGGAAGGCTGAGGTGGAAGGATCACCTGAGCCCAGTAGGTAGAGGCTGCAGTGGCCGTGAGTGTGCTACTGCACTCCAGCCTGGGTAACAGATTGAGATTCCTACTCAAAAAAACAAAAAAAAATTATATTTCTTTTTTTTTTGGAGAAAGCAGGTTTTATTGAGAGGACACAAAAGTTCCCGCAGTGGGAGGGGAGCCGAAGGAGTTGCCCAATAATTTCTTATACGAGTTTAAAAAAGGATGACTAATTAAACAAAAGTAAGCTATAATTAAATATCAAAGGTTCTGTAACTGTCCAAAGAATAGCAAGGTCATAATACTGACCCATAGAAACCCAACAGAAAATTCAACTGAGTGAAACAACAATTCTCTTTTGAATTCAGATATAAACAGTAAAGAAGCAATATCAAAGGAAATAATCTATAATGAAAATCTTAAGAGATGTATAAAGATGCTAGACACGGTGGCTCACTCCTGTGATCCCAGCACTTTGGGAGGCAGAGGTGAGAGGACTGTCTAAGCCCAGGGGTTCAAGATCAGCCTGAGCAACTTGGCAAGACCTCATCTCTACAACAAATTAAAACAAAACAGAACAATACAGATGCATGAAGGAAAAATTTTCCTATTTATTACTTGCAATAATAATCATTACAATTATGATGAAACACATATAACTACATAATTCATTTTAAACATACACATGCACGCAAGTATGGGCACACAAACATCATTTTCTTTCCATGTTAAGGTCAGCAATAAGAATTTCATTTTCCCAGCCTTCCAAGTAGCTGGAACTACAGGCACACGCCAAAAAAAGAAAAAAAGAAAAGAATTTCATTTTCCACTTCCCAAAACTATACTATAATACTACATTTGTAATCAAAGCTTCTGACATGCTGTTATCTGCAAGTCTGCTTATCTTACTCTTATGTTCTAACACACAAAAAGTTAGGACCACAGCAATTTATCACACAGTGAAGAACTTGGAAAATCCTTTGGCTTTGCAATTGGCTTCTGGTAACCTATTCAAATTACTTTTTAAAACAGTAGACAATAAAGGAAACTACAAAATGCTACATATCTTTTGAATTTTATTCCAATTATTCATCTTAGTTTAGTCTAGAAAGTCTGACTAGTGGTTTTAAAATATTTCAAATTTTGCATGATCACAAGCTGAAGTATGTGAAACATCTAAAATTTAGAGATAACAGAACAATTAGTAGAAAACTATTATATTATTATCATATTCTCTTACTTACTACACAAAATTGGAGAAGACGGTGTTTGCAGTGTCAAAGTGGAGCCATCTTTCCTTGTGATATTAACTCGAAAAACCAATCTGGCACGAGTGCTTTTTTTCTTGGAACCAGCAATTCCTATTCTGGCTTCAACATCAGCATTCCTCAATTTCAATATCCCTACGCAGTCCACCCTAACACAGAAAAAAATATATAAAGGGACATTTTGTTGTACAAATAGTACAATGTTCTTAATCAACAAGTCTCATTTTTTAAAAAATGTGCTTATCTATTAATTCTCTGAATAAGTAATACAGTCTTAAAGTTCCAAATTCAAAAGTACAAAACAGAAAATTCTACACATTTATTGTTACTAATCTTGTCAAAAAATAGTAAAAAAAAATCACTATTTTAAAATGTGAACATAAGCAGTTTTTAAAAAATAAATTTAGCCTCTTTCTTTTTGTAACTAATTCAGAATTTTTTTTTTTTTTGAGTCAGAGTCTCACTCTGTCGCCCAGACTGGAGTGTAGTGGCCACTCCTGGCCAACACAGCCTTGACCTGCTGGGCTCCGGCGATCCTTCCGCCTCAGTTTTCCAAGTAGCTGGAACTACAGGTGCGCACTACCACACCCGGCTAATTTTTGATTTATTGTAGAGATGAGGTCTCACCAAGTTGCCCAGGTGGGTCTCGAACCCATGGGCTCAGGCAATCCACTCACCTCAGCCTCCCAAGGTGCGGGATTACAGGCTGAGCCACCGAGCCCGGCTACTAATTCAGATATTAAAATAGAGGGAATGGATTTTACTTTTAAAAAATTAGTGACTGCCCCCAAAAGGAAGGAATACTATACAAGTCATTAAAAAGTATGTTATGACACTTAATGATATGGGGAAATGCTCATGATATGTTAAGTGAAAAGCAAGCTACAAAACAATGAGTATAGTATTTTCTCAATTCTGTGCAAAAAAGACTGTGAAGATGAACATTAAAATAATGGTTATTTCTGGGAAGTTGGTTTTTAAAGAGCATGTTTTTAAGCATTTTATTACTTTGTGTTTTCAACCTTCTTATAATGAATAAGTATTATTTTTATAATCAGTAAATCCTTTCCTTTCCTCCCCTCACTGTATATATATATTTTCTAATGTTTTTTTTTGAGTTGGAGTCTCACTCCATCACCCAGGCTGGAGTGCAGTGGAGTGCTGGGCTCAGGCGATCCTTCTGCCTCAGCCTTCCAAGTCAACTAGAACTACAGGTGTGTGCTACGACACCCAGTTAATTTTTTGATTTACTGTGGAGATGAGGTCTCGACAATCTGCCCAGGCTGGTCTCAAACCCATAGGTTCAGGCAATCCTCAACCTTCCAAAGTATTAGAATTACAGATTGAGCCACCATGCCCGGCCTACATTTATTTTTATAACTTTCAAAAAAGTTGTAAGTTAAAGAAAACTTTACTAAATATTTCTCAACATTCCTTTTTTCAATTAACTTTTTAAAATCCATTCAAATAGGCTTTCAAAAGAAAACTGAAAACCAAATAATACAAACCAAAAAACTTTCCTGCCTACCTTAAAAGTGTAATATATAATTTAAAAATTCTTACTAAGTACTTACGCCAGTGTCATGTTGTTGCTAGGATCAAGGCCAACTTCTATAACAGTAGTGCCTTCAATGTCCACTTCTTTGCAGGGAGTTGTATTTCGTCCAGTTACTCTGCAGGCCTGATAAAATCCATGTGGTTTCACTCGACCAGAATCGTTGCCCACAAACACTTGCAACACTACTGGTTCATTATGGCCTTCCAGCTGAAACCAGAAAACATGCAGCAGAAATATTAATTAGCATTTCAAATAATTTAATTGTAAAATCAAACATTTAAAGACCAAATTCTAGCTGGGCTCGGTACCTCAGCCTGTAATCCCGCACCTTTGGGAGGCTGAGGTGAGTGGATTGCCTGAGCCCGCGGGTTCGAGACCCGCCTGGGCAGCGAGACCTCATCTCTACAATAAATCAAAAAATCAGCCGGGTGGTAGCGCGCGCCTGTAATTCCGGCTACTCGGAAGTCCGAGGCGGAAGGATCGCCGGAGTCCAGCAGGTGACGCTGCGGTGGCCGGGAGCGGCCACTGCACTCCAGTCTGGGCGACCGAGTGAGACTCCAACTCAAAAAAAAAAAAAAAACAGAATAAGACCCATTACCTTTGGGTAATTTCTTTAAGATGCAACACAATACAGGATATAATTTAACCACCATCCTCTTCGTCCCTCTCAAATTTCCATGTATCAATATTAGTATATTAGGTGCATTTCTAAAAGTTTAATTGTATTCGACCTAAATGTCTTATACATTCTAGGTGTCAAAAGATCACGTTCAGATGTCAGTTCTGTTGTTTAACTTTATAACCCTGGATAGGTCTATAATTTCCCCAGATCTCAGAGGAGTTCAGATTTTGGGCCATATTCCCTACCTCACCCAGCATTAAAAAGAAAAAAAGGAGCCGGGCTCGGTGGCTCAGCCTGTAATCCCGCGCCTTTGGGAGGCTGAGGTGAGTGGATTGCCTGAGCCCGCGGGTTCGAGACCCGCCTGGGCAGCGAGACCTCATCTCTACAATAAATCAAAAAATCAGCTGGGCGTGGTAGCATGCGCCTGTAATTCCGGCTACTTGGAAGGCTGAGGCGGAAGGATCCCCGGAGCCCAGCAGGCGAGGCTGCAGTGGCCGGGAGCGGCCACTTCACTCCAGTCTGGGTGACAGAGTGAGACTCCAACTCAAAAAAAAAAAAAAAAAAGAAAAAGAAAAAAAGGGTGTGTTGGTGGCTTGGGGAGTCACATGAACGGACAGCTTACGGCACTCAGCGGGCCAGGGAGCTGGTGCCCTGCCGTGCCCAGAACTGCAGCAGCTCCACTGAAAATGCTGACTAGAGGAAACATCAATTCCTTCTCAGGGCCAAGTTTTGTGAGGTTTATCTGCTAATAATTTTTAGTCAGCAACTGCTCTTTTAATGTAAAACACACATCTTTCCCTCTCTATCCTAAGCAGTTAATAATACAGCCCAAACACCAACAGTCAGAATTCACCGGGAAAGATTTAAAAGTGTTGGTAAGATGGGGGGAAACCCAAAACAAAAATCTTGTCTTTTCTTGTCTCGGGTTTCACAAGACACTTGTTTAGATAAAATTCAAGTAATTAGATGCTGACATTCCCGCTACCAAAGACCCCATTAATGAAGTTACAGACAGTTTCTACAGTCACCAGTTTTTTTCACCCCCAACACAAACAGGACAGATTCTTGTTATTTAGCTGGTCATTAAGTGCATTTTCATCAAAAGAAAAATGTTATTTACAACACCTGTCAGAAATACTGGGTTTTAAAAAGACAAAGGTTACTGAATGCCTCAAAAGTTAAAATTTTTAATAGACAATTGTTAATGTAAAATATTTAACATCGATAAGAAAGATGTGCTAAGCAACTTTGGGCTTCAGAGACTTATTTTAATAAATTATATGTGTTTGGGACTTTTCTTATTTTTTAATTTTATTTCCTATCTTAAGGAATATCATACACACATGTGTGTGTATACACATATAGCAAGTTTTGGGAAGCTATGAAACAGGACCAAAATCAACAAGTGAGGTTTAATTACCTTTGACATTTCCACACTCTGAATTTCTGCGCACAAAACTAAAGTTAAGAATTTAAGGATATTCTGTTTTTGCCACACTAGACTGTTCATTACTTCCTTTAAAAAACTCAAGGGTGCCAGGCTCGGTGGCTCATCCTGTAAACAAGTGCCTTTGGGAGGTTGAGGTGCGTGGATTGCCTGAGCCCGTGGGTTCGAGACCCGCCCGGGCAACTTGGCGAGACCTCATCTCTACAATAAACCAAAAACAAGCCAGGCGTGGTAGCGCACGCCTGTAGTTCCAGCTACTCGGAAGGCTGAGGTGGAAGGA